CCAAGAAAAAGACAAAGGAAGACTTCCAGAAAGAAACAAAATAACAGACCATTCACCAGACTTCCCATCAGAAATTATTTAAAACTATGCCCCTGAAGATCCAATGGAAAGTGACCTGTGTCTAATCCGTAACGCAGACTCAGCCAGCCATCAATGTAGAACATTTGTCCCAGGTGCAGTCAGACTCAGAACTTACTCCAGGAAGTACATGAGGAAAATAGAAGGAGCTAAGAATACAATTTCACAATGTGAGCTCAGGGGCAGGGGAGGGGGTGAGGCTCAGGGATTAAGAAAAGCATAGGGTCCCATCCCTGCTAGAAAGCAAAGCCAAGAGATGAAGAAGGCAAGCAAGAAAAAGAGGGATGGTGAGGCCAAGTGAATAAAGTGTAAACACAGTGGCGAGACTCCGCGTCCTAGCACGGGAGAGACAGGCCTTGGGTGGGTAGAGTTTCCCTTCCTCTGTGGATCAGACCACTCTGTGGAGATGAACGCGCAGGCACAACCACAGCGTGGGGAATGCTATTTCTCTTGGGTGTAAGTATTCACAAGTTCGAGTCTGAAAAGACTTGACCATGGTTCTGGAGCAGAACGGACAGGTTACAATCCTAAGCGTGAGGAGACTCCCTGCCTTATATACTGGTGAAGATCACTTGCTCTACAGAAGCAACTGGAAGCAACAGAGGAGGAGGATGGTGTGAGTCTGCGGGAGCAGCTGAGGGTGCACTTGTGAACGTTGCCTATCTTTAGTTTTCTGTGTATACATAAAACACTTAGATGAAATCTTTAGAAGCATGCACAATGTTCACAATGTTTATAATCCAAAACTGTAAAATAATAAAGTACTAAAGATCTACTTAACTTGCACTCAGCCTTGGGGATGTGCTGCTCTTGAAAAGGCCTCCAGCGAAATAAGTCAAACTGAGTGAAAAAGAACTCATCTAAAGCGCAGCTATTCTAACCTATACTGAAAAAAAACAATCAAACAAAAAACAATAAACAACAACAAAAAAATAAAAGAACCACAGCGGAAGAGCAGCACTGCCCCCTTGTGGAGATGTACTGGAAAGCTTGCAAATGAGGTGTTACGCTTGAGGTTTTTGTTAGTTCATAACATTATCTTTTGAGGCTTATGAACAGTTGAACACTGGGCTATCTTCCACCATAAGCATGCATAGTGATCGATGAAAGCAATGAGGGTCTTACAGAGAGAAGCTTGGGAAGGCATGGAACAATGTTTAGGAAAGATTTTGGGTTTTTTTGTTTTGTTTTGGAGATGGAGTCTCACCATGTAGCCCTGGCTGGCCTGGAAATCTCTAAGTAGACCAGACGGGCCTCAAACCTGCAGACACCCGCCTGACTCTGCTTCCCCAGTGATGAGATTAGAACCGTTCTGCACCCTGGCCAGCAGTGGAGTTTGTCTGCTGTACGTGATAGCTCAATGGAACAAAATGTCAAATCTCTAACTTGGCTTTGCCAGGGCAGAGGCCAACATGAGCCAAGGGAGACACACAGACAGAATTGACAGGGTAACTTCTTTTTAAATCTAGAAAATTTTTTGAATAAGTCTACTTTGCATAAATAATACTTAATGAAAACAGTGAATTCCCCCAGATGACTAAAAGTGAGCCTTTCTGCCCCTTATGTCCCAGCAAAGATATCCTCGTGTTGGAGGGGAGTTAGACTGAGAGACCTCTGCATACATCCATGTACCAATTTCACACGTGTTTCTGGTGCCTACTCTGCTAGTCAGCGCAAGACCTCAAAGTCACACTGGATGTCTTCAGAATGATTCAAACACTGTCATGACTGCAGAGTCCAGGAGGAATTAAAGTATTTAACCTGTCAAGGCTCCCTAAAGCCCAGACTAAGGCAACTCACGGGCTCACAGTACCCACTGGGGTCTGTTCTGAGACCAACCCTGGGCTAGGTGGGAGGGTTGTGGAACTAGATTAGGCATGGTCCTTGTTTTGGGAATGTTCACACGTTGTTGCTGCAACAATGGGGTTTCGAGGGATGTCTGGAATAGCAGAAACAAAAGTGGATGGTGGAACCATTCCAAGGAGCAGCTCTAGAAGCAGTACTGTACTACTGAAGAGCATCCCACATGTGCCAAGCTCCCTGAGACGCCACGGACAGCAAAGTCAACACCCAAGTCATCAGACTATTGTTAATCCTTAGATGTTTGGTAAATGTGAAAAACAGCTACTTCTTTCAGGGGGTGGGGACTAAAATGGAATGAAGTGCAGTGTGGGCCCATGGAAGACAGATGATCTACTACAGGCAGGATGGGATGAACTGCTGAAGGAATGGTCTTGGAGCTGAACCTTGGGGTGACTAAGATGAGTAGGCCAGAGGGCAGGGGCAAGGTGGCTCCAGCATCAAACTGAGCAGACACAGAACAGCAAGGAGCAACATACATGAGGGTCATTCAATATGGTGGCAACAGAGTATTGGGTGAGAACAATGGCAGTCGGTGAGCTTCGTTTCCAACATACTTATCAAAGAGCAGGTTAAACATCGTAAAATTTATCCACGTAATGTGCACAGTGGATGAGGTTGAGTATATTTGGAGAAGTGTGAAACCCACCAAATGTTTTAGAATGTCCTTATCCCAAAGTTTCCTCATGCCTGCTGACAGTCCTTTTGCTCTACTTTTTTCTCTTATGATTCTGAGAAGGAATCCAGGGTTATCATCCTACGACGGATGATAACTTAAGTCTCTAGAGCATTGGGGTCTCAACTTTCTTACTGTTGCAACCCTTTAATACAGTTCTTCGTGTTGTAGTGACCCCCAATCATGAAATTATTTTCATTGTTACTTAATAACTAATTTTGTCATTGCTGTTTTTCAATGTACATGTGTTTTCTGATGGTCTCCTTGACTCCCAAAGGGGTCGTGACCCACAGGCCGAGAACCACTGCTCTAGAATCAGCTGGGTCTTGCTATCTAGCCCAGACAGGCCTTAAAGTTTCAATCCTCCTGCCTTGGTCTCCCAAGTGCTGGGATTGCAAGCATGTCGTCACACCTGTCATCAGTAGCCTCTATGAAGCTTTAATAGACATTCACCTGTCTTCTTAGAAAAATGCCTAGCAAACTCTCACCCATTTTTAAATTGGATTGTCTTGTTGGTTTTTATGAAGTCTTCATATATTTGTACCAGTGAGATGGCTCAAAGGGTGTTTGCCACCAACCTAACCAACTTGAGTTTGAGTCTCCGCAAGTTTACATGGTGGAGAGAACCTCACACCCCAGGCTGTCTCGTGCAGTAAGATGTACAAGCACGAACACACACACACACACACACTCACACACACACACACACACACACACACAATGTGATTTTAATGCTCTTTATATATATTCTAAACACACATCTTTTCAGGTATATAATTTGCAGATGTTTTCAGTCTGGTTTCTCCCTTTTCTCTCAGTGATGGTTTGTTTGCCCTGATGAAATCAATTTGTTTTCTTAATGGGTTTTGTTGTTTTGTTGAAGTCCTTCACAGTTTTTTTTTTCCTTCCATGTAGAGCAGAATGGGAAGTCTATAAAGATTTAACTAAAGCTCTTGCTTTTTCCTTTTGAAATGTGGTTATCCCCCGCAGGATCTGTTAAACGCTACCCTCCACTGGGTCATCTTATTACATTATTTTAAGGGTTCATTTCCTGAACTTTTGTTTTACTGTTCTCTGTGTCTACTTTTATGCCAACAAACACTCCAGAAGAGGATGTCAGATCCATTGAAGAGTTACAGGTAGTTGTGAGCCCCCAATATGGATGCTGAGAACTGAACTCAGGTCCTGTGCAAAAGTAGTATGCCCTCTTAACTGTGGATTAAGTAGTATGCCCTCTCAACTGTGGATTAACTCTCAGTTCCTTCTCCAGTATCATGTCTGCTGGCATGCTATGATGTCCCACCTTGATAATGGACTGAACTTCTAAAAATGTAAGCCACCCCAATGAAATGCTTTCCTTTGTAAGAGTTGTTATGGTCATGGGGTCTCTTCACAGCAATAGAAACCTTAAGCAAGACACATATTATGTATTTTTCCCATAATTTCACTTTTAAACTATTTACATCTGAATCTAAAGAGTGCCTCTGTGAGCATTTTAGCTGATATTCTTCCGACAGTTCTTCCATTAATGGCTTTGGGATTTTGTTTTGAGACAGGTTGTGCTATGTAGCTCAAGCTCCCTTGAGGCATGCATGCCCAGGCTATCTCCAAACTTGGATGTTGGGCCTCTACCTCCTACATGTTGAAACTATAGCAGGCACCAGCATAACCAGCTCATTTAATGAAATTATTGGTTAAATCATGCCTGCCATTTTGCAAGTGCCTCTAAAATCAGAAGTCCTTTTGTTTCTGCTGTTTTTCATGTTAAATATTTTTACTGTACTATTCTTGTTTTGGCTGTTATTCCAACCACGATGTGAGTGATGTTTTCAGTGGTTGCCCTAGGCTGCAATAATATGCATGTCAATCACAATCTCTGGATTGAGGCGCAAACAATTTCACTAAAATACACGTGTGTTACAGCACTGTTCCATTTCCTAATTCTCCTATGTGCTGCTATCATACCCTGATCTATGCTGTAGATCCAACGATAGTGTTGTATACAATTATTGCTTTATACAACTTTATGAAAAAAAACCATATTTGTTTCGGTAGCCAACGTCTCCCCAGTTACCATGTGATTATTAAATCCAGCACGAAGATTGGTGCTCAAATGTATGAAGTGGGGATTACTAACCAGGAAGAGCATCCTAGTTTGCCCAAGAGCAGAGCAGAAAAAGCAGATGCAATGTAACAGAGCAGAGGTGATCAAGGCAGAGAAGGAAATGGGTAAAGGATCTGCAGTGTGGCTGACTTGGGTATCAAAAGGGGGCCACCAGCCACGGAGAGTGGGTAGGTTCTAGGCACTTGGTTCTACAAACTCTTGACACCCTGACTGAGCTTGGGAGCTTATTCAATTTTGTCTTCCAGGAAAGAATGCAGCCACTGGTGGGAAAAAGTTGTTTATTTGCATTGCTTCCGTTTTCTACTTAGTGTTAGGACGAAACTTAAGCATCTCCCGAGTTTCTATTTACAGTTCATCTGGAATATTACTACACATACCATGTACAACTTTAAAAACTTATGGGGAAAACGCAGTTTATGGTTTTCTCTCTTCTTCACAGGCTTCTCAGAATCGTTCAACTTAAATGAAAATTTCTATGGACATCTGTACATATCTGAAAGCGCAGAGATCATACCGACAGTCAAAAGATTTTTGCACAAATACAATAAAATACAGAAAACAAAATATAGATGATGTTATTTGGGGTACAAATATAAACAATACAGTACCATCTGAGTAACTTAACAACATAATACACTTTATAGAAATAAAACTGCAAACCTGGAGGATGCTGACAAATATTAAACATTATATACACAATGAGGTAAATGTACCTTGGTCTCTTGAGAGGTAATTTAAGTTTAAAGCAAATAGCATTTTGAAGCATCTCCTTAACATATAAAGAAATATCAAATACTCCATTCCATTGGCACAATGTGAAAAAGGGATTATCAAAACACAGTTCATGATATTCAACTTACAAATCTCATTGAAAAATAAAAAACAAATTCACTTTAAGTTTTAAGAAAAAGGTTGAATGCTACTGACCACATTTTAAAAATGTTTACAAGTGAGAGTGCATAACAGGATTGAAAAATAATGCTGACAGCCCTCAGCTTTCCTAGAAAGAGCCCACAGAAGTTTCAACATCCACACACGAAGCTGCACTGCCATCTGGAACTACTCTTCAGAGTCTCAACGCACTGACATGTTCTGCTCAACTGTAACAGAACAACATCTGGAATCTCCACATGTTGAGCCAGAACACTCCCATGACCAAAGAACAAGGAATGATTTACAATCATTCTTTCAGTGCATGGAGTAAAAACACAAACGTTTCTATGTCTACTGGGCAGATTTTGGTGTGCATATTAATTAGTGCTTTGTCATTGGTTTTATGTATCTGATAATGGGAAAAGGGTCAAAAGTGTATGAACTGTAAAGTAGTCAAGTGACCACTTAAATCTGTAGTGAGAACCAAAGTCTGGAATTCTTAATGGCCATGGCACCACACTGGGCCTCAAGGCACTTCTTGAGTACTACTGTAGTATAAGGATTACAGGCTCAGCTCCTCAGGCCTTACTGTTCTACCAGGAACACAACTGGTCACTGTTTCTGAGGCAACTCCTGCTGCCACCTAGCTGTCACCCTACTCTCTACCCAGAGCTAACATCAAAGCAGACTTATCAGCAGGGGCATCCCAGGCCCTGGATTTGCAGACCACTCCCTGTGATATCCAGTGACTGAAGGAAAAGAAAAATGTCACATAGCTTCCACCAACCACTTCATTTTAGGTCTCAAAAGCAGTTCTTCATACAAAGGCTGGAGGTTGGGTGGGGGACAAAAGTCTCTGGGCCACAGGTCAGCAGAAAGGCAGACTAGGAGAAACATAGTTGAAAATATAAGGGGCCCAAGTTGTCTATACCTCAGTAATACATAGTTACCTCATGCTCTCTCTGCCAGGGTATTGACAAGATGATGTGTCACTTGTTAGAAGATATGCTGTAGCCAACTACATCTTGGAAAGGGGGAGGGTATTTTTAATAGGCAATATAAACAATAGACTATATTACAAAATAACATAAAAGTATTTTTCTAATCAGATGTATCTGTAGTCATAGACATAGTAACCATGACCTATCTCAGCTTTTAAGTTATTTTCATGTTCATATTGGCCACTTGGGGATTATCAAAGTATCCCTGGACAAAAAAAATCAGCTATAAACATGTAAACTCAATTGAGAACAAAATTCCAACTTTACAAAAGTTCCCTGATTCATCAATAGCACATTTTATCCACTTAGGCAAGAACAACATGATTCTTCAGCCTCTGATGTGATGAGAAGCGTCTTCAGAAAAACTCATTTTTTTGTATGAAGGTGAGAAACTGTATTACAACTTTAACTCAGACAACTTTTGGTATGTTCTTAAAATTATATAAAAATAGTTTTAGTGATAAAATGCATTGGTCCCCTGGATTTCCATAAAGCAGACCTCAAAGGGTTAGAAATGGAAAGAACAAAAAACAAAGGCCCCAAAAGTACCTGATCATAATACTAGAGCTTATTAAGCAGGTGATACCACAACTGTAACAACAAATCCTCATGGTTACTTACAGTGATGATCATGATAATTACAGAAAAACTCAAATTTGTATTCAAAAATACTAAACTCTAAGCACTTTTCCCCATGATGTTTTTAAATGCATGAAACTGACACTAATGCCTATGTAACATGTCATTTATCCTACAGTTACTTTGGTTTAAGACCAAATAGTCTTCAAATTTACTCTAGGTTTGAGATAAGATATTAACAGAAAGCAGCTGCTTCAGCATCAACAGTCACAATCTCTTCTTGACTAAACACTAGAGGTTATTTTGACCTTTTTATCTGGGAATTGGTATCGCTATGTTCAACATCTTGCCTCAAGCAATGATAACATTTTCCTCTCAGAATATGATCACAGTGATAAAAAGGACTTTGAAAGCCATATGAACCCTGCAAAGACTTGACAGCACTGATATAAACGCCAGCTAACTCCAGCACCAGTGGGAGACCCAACAGGCTGACTTTGGACATTTCATATGGCCAAGACTATATGACGAGAACTTCTACTCGAAATGGCTGAGCTGTCACTTCTCCCAGTATCAATTGCACTGAACTCAGCGCCGCCAGGTGCAAGATCTACACGAGATAACAGACTAATCAAAAGCTGCCTTCCTCAAAGTGTAGCGACCTCAGAACTACACAAACTCTACCCTTCCCAAGATAGGATCCACAAGTACTTACAGCTATAACATGTGAAAGTCAAGTTGCATATTCAAATTAACTATCTCTGCCTTCCTAGAAAAGGCCTATTATTTAACATTAACCACATTTGTATTTTAAATGTAATTCATTTCAAAAAAGAAAAAAAATTCTTTGATCAGATAAAGAAAAAATGGCTTACAGAAAAGCACACAACTTTGCACAAGGCAATAGACAAACCTCTCCTTTCAGAAGAATGGGTCTGTATGCCACAGTGATTAAATCCATGAAGCACTGCATGTATCTGAAGTGCCACCTTTTAAAATAAACTCAGAAAACACATCTCAACTGCAAAGCTCCCAAGCTCCACGTGACCATGACTACTTACCGACGCTGCTGCACAGCCTCAGTGCTTCAAGCACATTTGGGGAGGAGAAAGGCATAAATACTGAATGACGTCTACCACAAAAACTCAAAACACAAAACGAACCCAGAAAAGATTCAGGTTACTCAGAAAAATAAACTTTTTGAATGAAAATGATACAGGACTTAACACAGACTTGAAGCAGTTGTGTCATTTCTATTTAGAAAGACGTACAGTGGCACTTACTGGTGTGGCACACCCCACTTTGAAAGCATGGTGTGTTCCGAGTGTGAAGGAGCAGGAGCCATATGTAAATACAACCGCATCAACTGTGCCCCTCACGCCTACAGGAGGTCATTTTAGACTACAGAGTTTTAGGTGTTAGGTTGAGATCCTGAAAAACTATGAAACAGTACATTCAAAGTGAATCAAGGAAACTAGTGGTTCAGAGTCCTCTGAGAATGTACTAACCAGGAGTGAAAATCAAGTGCTTCTTCATCTAAGCTGACAGACACTCCAGCTCCTTCACCTCATGGACAACCATCAGCACAGCAGCTCCCTAAGGGCCAGCAGTCATCCTCTAAAAACAAGCTTTGTTAATAAAAACAAAAGTAGACTACACAACATTCTGTAACTGTCCTGGGAAGAAGCATCCATAGTGCACACAAAGGATCCCCGTGGCTGCCTCTGGGCCCAGAGGAACCTGGGACGCTTTCCATTAACCACATTCCACTGCAGCGCGAGGAAGCAGCGTCCTCCGTTCGTTCTCAGTGAGGTAGAACAACTGGCCTCCCAAACACACCCAGGAGCAGATATGAAGAGAGTATAGTTCCCTCGAAGCTGCAATCACATTTTGATGCCTTCCTGTTGGCTGAGCTGTGACAATGTTTTTTTAATTCGCAAAGCTGTCAGCCTAGCCGCTCCATTGGCATACCAACATTCTCTCATAATTTTAGCCATCACTCTCAAGGCCTACAAGAAAACATAAGAAAAATAATTAATGCATAAATACCATTTGCCATTAATCTGGGAAGAATATCCCTTTGACTTTTAAAAATATATAAGGTTCCCATTCTAGCTTTGTTTGTAGTAGCAAATTCGGACTTTTAGATTCCATCAAGATCCAAGCTCCAGGTGCTGGAAAGGCTTTGGACAGGGAGCTTTCTATCAGGAGATCTCAAAAGGCTGAATCCAGAATCAGTACTGAGCCAAAGAAAGGACCAACAATGCCACCTTAGACACTGGGTGAGAACTTAACTTCATTTTTAAGCACTTTGGAACCTATCCACCTTTCCACTCCAGCAGAAGGCTTGAGGGGTTTCATCTGGGAAAGACTATCTCTGGTTCCAGAGCATAAGGGCAGGCATCTCACACTGGAAGCATACTGGATTCTCATACTGTATGGCAGTAATATGTGTACACACTCTTCTTGGGTGGATTCTGAAGTCACCTCCTCCGGAGATTTGGACAGCCCAAGAGAACAGGCCTAACCAGATTAGCAACAGTGATTTTCTAAGACAACAACCCAGAGAGACCACCTACAGAGGACATACATAAGCTCTAGCCATATGGCACAGGGCTCTATCAGCACCTAGACCCTCGCTCATTAAGAGGGAAAAGGGTCTGATGACACGTTGAGAAAAGTGACAAGAACTGGAGAAACTGAAGGCAGATGTGGACAGAGAAAACCATATGGAAGCTCTCCTGTTAGCAGGCGGGGCAGAGCTCCTTGCAACAGTGCTTGCACAGGCGTGCAAGGCCCCACCAGGCCCCAGTACAGCCACCACCAAACACCGATACACATGGCTGGCTCATGTGTTTCATCTGTGTTTATTCTCTCCGTGTAGTCTTTATACTCAAAGTGACGTTACTCTCCCTCTTAGTGCTCCTTCCAGCCTCTGAATTGTATACTGCGGCACTGCTCAAATGTCTAGTGATGGAGAACTAATGAGATTCTGTGAGAAGTGAATAGGAGGGACATTCAGAGAACAGGTAAGCACTTCTGGAAATTAGAAATGTGACAGAAAGCTAAGGTAGGGGTTGTGGGGAGGAGGAAAAGGTGAGGGAGAATGAGAATACACATGGAAAAACAACATAAGAAAAACAACAAAAGGAAATGGAAGGCTATCTAAGACTTCAGAAGTATTTCTGAGAAAATACAAACTTCTAGATTTAAATGACCATGTACCAATACATACATATACATTCACTTAAATATTTAACAAAATGTTTCTGTGGGTGTTAGATACAGCAATGAACAAATTTATGAATTCCCTGTCCTCAAAAAGCCTGTATTCCAATGATAAATCAATTGATAAATTAGTGTGAAATACAGACCTTTGGAGTGGTAAATGCCAAGAAGAAAAACATTTGGAGGAGATAAAACATGCCAGGGAGGAAAGCACTATTCTTAGCAGGAAGGGAAATGTCTAATTTGAACAGAATCCTGAAAGAGAGGTGTAAACAAAGAAATGGGAAGACAGAGGCCCAGAAAGGAGAGAAAAAGCAAAAGGAATTCCAGGACAAAAGCCACACAGTGGCCCTGGAGCAGCCAGTCCAGACTGAAAACAGAAGGCCCGAGGAAACATTTATGTGTTTGTCAGTGTGGGGTCTGTGTGCACACCCATGCATGTTCTGGACACTGAACCAGGCTTCACACACATTGGGTAGGCACTCTAGCATGAAGCTGTATGTCGAAGTTTATGTGTTTCTCAGTTCTTATTCTGATAGGTCTCAATCACTACATTACAAGGCTGGCCTTAAACTAAAGCTCTGTAGCCCAGGCAGGACTTGAGCTTGTGACCTTCCTGCTGGCTTCCTGATCAGCTAGGACTAGAGGCCTACGCCAGCAAGCTTAGCCAGTTCCACACTCTTACATGTTTCAACTAAGACTTTTATAGTTTATTCTTATTCTATACACATTGGTGTTTTGCCTGCAAATATGTTTTTATGTGGGAATCAGATTCCCTGGAAGAGGAGTTATAGACAGTTGTGAGCTTCCATGTGGGTGCTGGAATTGAACCCCAGTCTTCTGGAAGAGCAGCCAGTGCTCTTAACCACTGAGCCATCTCTCCAGCCCCTTAACTAAGACTTTTAAACCCTAGAAAAGTAGAAACTCGAAATAGCAACAAGTACACAGAAAATTAGTAATCAAATTGAGAAAATAACATGGCAATGATGGCATTAATCAGCTTACCATAATAGTAACTGTGCACATTACATGTTCTTAATGTCAACCTATTTCTTCCTGCTTAAAAACTGTCTGTCTTAGCCAGGCGTTGGTGGCCCACGCCTTTAATCCCAGCACTCGGGAGGCAGAGGCAGGCGGATCTCTGTGAGTTCGAGGCTGGGCTGGACCAACAGCCTCCAAAAAACAATACAGAGAAACCCTGTCTCGTAAAACCAAAAAAAAAAAAAAAAACAAAAAACAAAAAACAAAAAAAAAAAAAACTGTCTGTCTTTAAACTGCTTCAGTTATTAAATGTGTGTGTGTGAGTACTTCAAGTCTGTGTTCTCAAGTACCCAGAGACAACGTTACCCAGAGCACACTCTCTCTGTCGAGTTCCATCACGTTCTGTCACATGAAGACTCTGAACACACTGAGCTTTCTCCTCTCTAGGTTGACACATATTTTGCTTGAGGTGGTGTGCAAATTTTTTTTTTACTCTAAAAAAATTCTTAAGGAAAAGGAAAACATCCTTTATCTTTAGCCTTGCTTTCCCCATGTATTAACATTTGGGTAAGTGTCCTACCTAGACTTTTTTCTAGGAATGTTTATGTTTGGTACTTTTCCAACAATAAACAGTAGAGCTTTGTAGAAACTACCGAAGCACACGAGGGACTTCAAAAATCACAAAATACCACTGTGGTATAGTTCCTCAGGGCCCCATGAAGAGCTCTAACATTGTTGCTATTTTGAGATAGGGTCTCATGAAGCCTAGGTTGGCCAGAAGCTGGCTGAAGTTAAGTTGGAACTCCTGTTCTTCCTGCTTTTACCTCTGGAATACTGGACTAACAGATCTGTATATCACCACCCTGCCTTACAGTGGTGTTGGGAGCAATCCCTGGACCTCGGGTACACCAGTCTTACAGTGGTGTTGGGGAGCAATCCCTGGACCTCGGGTATGCCAGTCTTGCACTCTACCACTCAGTCCTGCCAGAGAGCACACTGATGTCAGTGGAGAACTCCTGAGGTGTCCAACGCTTCTTTCTCTCTCTCTGAGAATCCACCTACAAAACTTCAAGTCTGGAAGGCATATCCTGCTGCACTACCATCCCAGTAACCCTGTCAACAGAACCCACACCCAGACTGCTGGAAAGCACCCCCCTCCTGAGTCCTAGGAATACAGGTCACACATCTGAAGCTCTGCAAGACTGTACCCCAGCTCCTCACCTTACAAAGGGTGCTAAGTCTCAGAGCACTGATGCAGCCTGCCCATGTCTGAGTCTGAAAGGAGCCAAGCCAGCACTGACAGCCCTCTGCATTCTTACCCAGTGTCTGCCTCAGGCCACACTGGCTAAAGGGAGGCATTCACTTCAACAGCAGGCACTGACTTCATATGGCAGACCTAACCATGTCCAGACATGCCACTGCAGATGTTTCATGGCCCTTTTAATACTCTCAAGAAAGCAAAGTATTCTATTTGTACTTATTAGTTTATGAAAAAGAAAAAGAATCCGAGAATTTTCCTTAGAGAGGAGTGACAAATTTCCGCCTCCTAAGTAGAAACAGTTTAGCAACAGCCTAGTATCAGAAGGAAACACTCACTTCACAGCTCTGCCATCTGTTTGGAATATTTGGCCGTAACTTCTGTTCACAAACTACTTTTCTCATTTCTTCCACTGATGGATCAGAAGGTACAAGATCATAATAAGGCAGCTGATAGTCTTCATGAATTCCTGTATTGGTTAAAAAAACCCACATTAATCAGCTCCTGCCACGTCACTGGAAGGGTTACTTGAGAGGCTCATTACTGTGGCCCGTCTCTATACTGGGTAGGTGAAGTGCGATTCACAGCTTTATGCATCTCCCCACATCTGCATCAATAACCACCTACTGGAGTCGTCACTGGACTCGCACCTTTTGTGAACTTGACAAAATCTAGTCACCTGGAAGACACCTGTGGGCATGCCTCTGAGGGATTATTTTGATTGGAGGACTCATCTTAAGTATGGGCAGGACTACTCCCTGGGCAAGGGATGCTGGAGTGTATAAACAGAGAAAGCAAGCTGAGCATCAGCATGCACTCACTGCTCTCTGCTGCTTGACTGTGGATGTCACGTGACAGCTCCCTCAAGCTTCCATTACTGTGACTTCCTTTCATGGTAGCTGTAACTTGGAACCACAGGCCCTTCCTCCCTTAGACTGCCTTTGTTGGAGCATTGTATTACAGCAATGGAAAAGAAACCAAGGCCACTTTGAACCTAGTGTGCTGTGATAACCAGGCTGACACTCTGACTACAACTCCACCAGGCAGAAGATGCATGGATATACTCTTGTAAGGAAATGTGAATCCCACAAGTCCTTTCCCTGGCTTGTGCCTGTTAATCAGATGTCCTATGCTATAACATCAAGCATACTTTATCCCTCACTGTCTCAAACCTTCAAGTCCTAAGTCTCACACAGATTCCTAAGCCTAAGAGACAGTGTCTGAGCAAGCCCTGACAAGTAAGTTCTCAGTCTAATATAAATTCAAAAGTTAAAACAAAATCTAAGAAGTACACAATATTAATAATGCAATTGTCATATGTATACGGATCTTCAACAATCAAGCCGGAGAAAACCAGTTTTTAAAAAAAATGTTTCCAGGTAGCCTTTCAAATAACTAAATCCAAGAGGCTAGGTTCTGACACTGTCTGAGACTAAACAGAACATGACTCTGGATAAGGCTGTGTTGGTGGGGTTTATCTTTTGTTCCTGTGCCATTCTCAGTGGTCACCTCATGACAGACTACTGGGGAAAGGAGAGCGATTTACCGCCAATGGAACAGCGCCGAGCAATTTCCCAGAACACTAAGCCCATTGCATAGATGTCAGCACGTTTGAAGGATTCAAAGTGTTTCATGTTTATGGAATCGTCTAGGACTTCAGGAGCCATGTACCTAAAAAAGAAGCCAGCATTTCAGTTCACTGCAAAGCACATTAGTTATTGTCTCATACACTGTCTTTTACTTCTGGTGAAAACAGACACACAGGGTCTCACTATGAAGCCTTAACTGACCTGAAAAGTTACTATATATACTAAGCTGCTAAAAAAACACCTACCTCTGCTTCCCAAGGGTCTGGATTAAAGGTGTACACTATCAAAAAAAGCAAACTTCTTTTCTTTTTGCTGTGGTTCTGCTGTTTTTAAAAATGATTCACACTTCCTATAAAAAAAAAACTTCCCAAGTACATAAAGTACAAGGTGAAAAAAACATCCCCTTACTGCAAGTGTTAACATGGGTCAGACCTCCTTACACAAGCACAAAACTATCACATAACTGAGATCATACCAGACTCAAGCAAATATTAAGTATCTACACTGGCTTGCAAACTAATGATGTCGACTAAATCTCATGGAATGCTGAAATGGCAGCTCCATGCCATCTGCCTTCTGATGATGGTTTATGAAACACATACGGAACAGCTGTGGCTGTTACAAACACCCTAATGTACATCATCCTCATTTACTATTTAGGGACCACACATTTTAATCTGGAAGCCTTCTCCCAAAACAGTAGAAACACAGGAAAAAAGGGACAAACGAAATGATAAAAGGAATGTCAGTCATATGGATGCTACATTACCAATTAATGGGTTCTTAAGTTTGTTTCTCTTTTGTTTGTTTGTTTTTGGAGACAGGGTTTCTCTGTGTATCCCTGGCTGTCCTGTTTCTCTGCAGACCAGGCTGTCTTCAAACTCAAAAGTCTGCCTGCCTCTGCCTTCCAAGTACAGGAAATCAAGTTGTGTACCACCATGGCCCAGCGCTATAGTTTCTAAAATCCTGCTACAACTACAGGTCTTTCAGAACACTACTGAGGCTTCCTCAGCCAGACCCCATGGAACCTGGAAATTGTAATTACATTTAGAGTGACTAAAGCTGATGGCTTTCTCCAAGTTCAAGGCATTAGCTGTGAAGAAAGGTTTTGAGTGATTTTTAAGCACAGTAAGGCTTTGAGTCCATCTCAGCCTGTCAGCCACATGAAGAGGGTCACATTATTTAACCAACAAGGTGGTTTTCTCATCTGAATTAATAGTAACGACACCTATTTATGGAAGTTCTTCTGAGAATGCATGAATGCAACAAATATTTATGAAAGTGTATTAGGCATTTTGACAAGTACCTGGAATACAAAACTGCTCTTAAGCTTCTTGCAATCCAATGGAATACACAGACCCAGACACACTGTCATGTGAGAACAGTTAAGTAAATGCCTCAAATAGTCATTTATCATTGTGCTATGCCAGGAACATGTAAGGGTCAGAGTACCAGAAAAGGCTTCCTTGAGTCAGGGGTGATATTATGGGACTAATGGGGGATGTATGTTTTAAGTGCAGCACACACAAAGTTCTAAGGAAGAAAGACAACAGAAAATATGAAAACAGACTTGCTACAGTACAGAAACTATGGCAAGCTATAGACTACTAGTAGTTATTATTTGTGGTAGTTTGAAAGAAAATGACCCCTACAAGGAATGGCACTATTAGGAGGTGTGACCTTGTTGGAAAAGTGTGTCACTGTGGAAGAGGACTTTAAGTTCTCATATATGCTTAAGCCATCCCCAGTGAGACAGACCACTTCCTGTTGTCTGCAGATCCAGATGTAGATCTCTCAGCTCCTTCTCTAGCACCATGGCTGCTGTACACCACTATGTCCACCATGAAAATAATGGACTGAACCTCTGAACTGTAAGTGAGCCATCACAATGAAATATTTTCCTTTAGAAGAGTTTCCGTGGTCATGGTGTCTCTTCACAGCAATAGAAACCCTAACTAAGACATATTGTTCTTACAATTAACCTAGTTAAGTTAATGATGATACTTTCTAGAAGGGTTGCTCTATCAATAGGTTTTCAAGTCAGGTAACTTGGTTTCAAAGTAGCAAAGACTCTAAAAGCTTGTCAACAGTCTAATGAAGGACCAAGAAGTTTGAGTTTCTGAAGAGAAACACTTATGAAGACAGGAAAGAAAAGAAGTTGCCATAAGGCATTACCAAAAACCATTGATTCCGAAGTGTACCTTTTAGTGCCTACTCTATGGTTTGGAGCAATATCAATTGTGTCTGTGGCAGAATCATGCCTCACAGCCAGTCCCAAGTCTGCAATACAACAGGTTCCATTCTTCTTCACCAAGATATTCTTTGATTTCAAATCTCTGTGAGCAATAGCTGGTTTTCCTATTGGAAACCAAAAGTTAGATATGACTGCTTAACAAGTGGCGCCAGTCACAAGTCCTTTAGATCTCCAAGCTTAGCCTGCCCCAGTGTGAGGCACCTGGGCCACATCACTATAACAACTAGACTACTACTAACCTCAGTGAAACACTGTGCCAAAAGAGATGGAGCTCTGTCTAAACTTTCAGACAATATAAATCCAAGAACTAAAAAACTAAGGTGAAAAAGTTGCTTGTTGATCTCTAAGTAAATTTCCAGACTTCTGAGACTTTCATTGGAAAAACATTCAAGTTTTTCCCCCTCAATATATGTTTTTATTTAAATTAGAAACGTGAATATTTCACATGTCAGTCCCAGCTCCCTCTCTCACCCCTCCTCCCTTGTCCCTCCAGCAGCCCCTCCAGACACCCACCCAATCCCCACATCATTCCTCAGGGAGGGTGAGGCCCTCCTTTGGGGGATCTCTAAAGTCTGTCATTTCATCCAGGGCAGGACCTAGTCCCCAGTGATTTCTGTGGTTTCTTCCCTGGCACTACATTCATGGAGTCTGGATCAATCTCGAATACATATTACATTCACAGGAACTTAAGGTTAAGTAACAGCAACTATAGAGAGTTACCTTGGGTACCAACAATCTCCATGTGAAGATGGGCAAGACCACTGGCCGTAGACAGAGCAAGTTTGATCATCCCTTCCACTGTAACAGTGTATCTATTCAAGTAATCAAAAAGGGACCCATGCTCATGGTAATCCGACACCAGCCAGAGCTGAGTCCATGTGCCATTGTCTGCAAATCAGAACACACATTTCAGTTAGGCTGTAGAGCACTGAAAACCTCAGGCTATTACCACTTTTCACTATCAATCTTGGTCACACAACTGCAACATGATGTCACCTTAAGTTTGCATGAATTTCTTCCACATTGTTATATTCAATTTTATACACTGTTATGTGCATATATTCAACCCTCAGAGTATACACCGTATTCTTGAGATACAGCAAGGATAAGTAATTTAAGAGAAAAATCATATTCCAACAATGTTGCTTTCTCCATCCTTCAGAGTAGCAGAGTTGGGGCTTCTGGAGCTTAGAAAGGAAACTGGTCAGATTAGTTTGTGTTCAGTGTTTGCTTACGGAGGGGGAAGAAGGGTAGCAGGGAGTGAGGATGAGAAACATCCAGGGAGCTCAGCACGGTCTCAGTGTGATGGAATAGCACGTGACAAAACTCAAATGAGTTTTGGTGAGAACTGACAAGCTTTAGTGACAGACTGTAGAGGTCACTAAGATGTACACAAGTTGATTATAATTTCAATGCTGCTACCTCAGATAAACAAAAATAGTGGTACCTCTGATGCTGAGACAGGCTAAAGTGTCAGAGGAGAAGGGTGAAAAGACTAAGACTGAGCCTCATTTTACACAAGGTGATTTGGAACCTAAACAACATGGAATGTGCATGCTAAGAGTCCCTTGGAAAGCTCATATGTGCATCTGAAACGTGTTTTCTCAAAGGAGTAACAGTAAGGATGCTACTTAAATGCATTTAACTTAGAAGTAGATGGGAAAACAAGAGATAGCACAATTCAGTAAAAGATATACCCATAAGTCATATATGGGCTAGTTTCATGTCAAGCTGACATAAGCTAGAGTCATTTGGGAAGAAGGAATCTCAACTGAGAAAATATCCCCACTAACTTGGCTTGTAGATGAGCCTGATGAACGATGGGGGGGGGGGCCAGAGGCATTCACCTAAGGGCAGTGCCACCCCTAGGCTTGTCCTGGGTGCTAAAAGAAAGCAGGCTGAGTCAGCCATGGGGAGCAAACCAGTAAAAACAGGTATTCCTTCATGGCCCCTGTTCCAGTTCCTGACTCCAGTTTCTGCTCTGACTTCCTTCCATGTGAACAGTGATTGTGATGTATAAGCTGAAACAAAGCCTTATGTCTCCAATTGGGTTTTGGTCATGGTGTTTTACCACAGCAATAACTAAAACAAGTCATATTGACCCAGGCAGGAATCTAAGATCTGCATACTATTGATTACATGGGCTCAGACAAGTTTTCTCAATTGGGGTATGCTTCTTTTATACAACAAAAACAACTGTGAAGACTCACTAGATTTCTTTTTAAACTAGGTAATACAATGCTTAGCACATGAACTTAAAATATGCTGATCCCTGGTAGTTATAAACAAAAGGAAACACAAAGTAAGATCTATAGAGGGGTGAGGGGAGGGGGAAGATGAGATCAAGAAAGCAGACAGAACTATAGAATCTAGAGGAGAATCCTTCTTTTTTAATTTTATGTTTGGGTGTTTTGCCTACATGAAAGGCCATATACCACTTGTGTGCCTGGTGGTCATGGAGGCCAGCAAAGGGTACTGGATCCCCTGGAGCTGGAGTTACAGGCAGTTGTGAGCCACTATGTGGTACTAAGAGTTGAACCTGGGCTCTGAGCTATCTTTTTTAGCCACGTGCAAAGTTATTTCTTGGTATTTCCAAAAGAACTTAAGAGATTACTGATCAATATTTTTTCTTTTCTTTTTTCCTTTTTGAACTGTTCTTCCTGCATTTCCTAAGATCTTTTTCTTGGTATGGGTATATCACTAGCTCATGTGTGTGCCTGTTAACTGTAACTGTGTTCTGAAAGTTCTGAAAGTTTAAAGCCACAACAGAGAGAAAACAGGGCAGGACACGGAGATTTCCTGAGGTATCCAACCACAGAAGAAGAGGGAAGAAGCTGCACATACAAAGAGAGCGGCTTAAGAAGGGGCTGGAGAGTGACTTGGCAGTTAAGAACACATACTGCTCTTGAGATCAGAGTTCAGCTCCCAGCACCCTGTTGGGAAGCTCACAACTGCCTGTAACTCCAGCACCAGGAGAACCTACGCATCTGGCCTCCTTGGGAACCTATTCAAGGATACCCACACACAGATACAATCACATACATATAATTAAAAATAAATCTTTAGTTTGTTTTGTTTAAGGCTGGCCTAGGCAAAATTAACCAAATTAAGAGGATTAAGATAAAAAGAGAACTAGGTAGTGTTGGGGAAGTCTTATGTCAATAAAGTACTGTTGAGCCAATAGGAATCTAGATAGGTGGGACTAGGAGTCCAGGAGGACTCTGGGAAGGAGAAACACAAGAGAGTTCGAGATGTAACGCCATGGGGTAGGAGGCCCGGAAATTTCTCCGGTAAGAGACATACTTAGATTAACAATTATGGGGTAATTACTTAAGTCAGAGCTAGCCAGTAAGAAACAAACAAGGCCAACAGCTTCATAATTAATACAGCGTCTTGTGTGTTATTTGGGGACTACAATGCGGCAGAGCCCAGGCGACTGGAGGGTGATAAACCAAAGCGGCTAGCAAGGAAAAAGCTTCTCTTAACAAGGTAGGAAGTCTAGGTTCTGCACATTAACACCTAATACGGCAAAAAGGGATGGGAGAAACCAGTAGGGTCAGTTAGTTCCCACTGTGTCCACCAGATGACAGCATCCACTTGACTGCTGCTTGGAAAAGGACACTTCAGGGCACAAGAGGTTCAGTGATTTGCACTTATGTGTTGTAACATGGAACGTGCCTGAAGCAACCCTAAAAGGGGTTTAGCTTTAAGCATAAACAAGAGTCACCACCATTGTAGAATTTGACATCACAAATGTGGGTAAGTCCTTTAAGGAAACAATTGCTGTTTATAGAATCAAAGCCTTCTTACAGATCAGTCAGAAGAATAAGATTTGAGAAAACAAGCAAATAGTAAAAAAATAAGAGTAGGCTGGTATTGACACACACTATAACTTCAGCACTGGGGATGGAGTGAGAAAGATCATGAGTTCAAAGCCAGCAACCTTAAAAAAAAAGAAAATAGACAAAAAACATAAAAATACAATAAGAAAAATGTCCATAGCTCTGTAAGGGAACTAAACAGTCAAAACAGAAGAAAATGAGAGCCAGGGGCAGTCAGATTGTGATTACTACTTTAGTTTACTTCTTTGTTTTTCAATTAAATACTGAATTGTTGGAAGCCATGATAATCACAGCCTATTATCCATTAGTGCTCCTACCAGAATCGTATACCATAAGCCTCCTGGTGTGGCAGCCTAAGAAGTTTCAACACAGCTAGTGTGTATTTTAGAAACCAATGAAAAGAAGTCAGACTGGGCCTCTGTAGTATGTAACCTTAACTGTTAACTTGACTGTAATTTAGGGTACTTCAGAGACAAACCCGAAGTGTGTCTGTGAGATTGGTATCAGAGGGTTAAGTGAGGTGAGGAGACCCCTCTCAATATGGACAGCACTATTCCATGGCTGCATTAACAGGGAAAGGAGGGCAGGGCACCACCCTCTACTTCCTGACTGCAGATGCAATGTGACATCTCCCTCATGCTGCTGTCACCATGCCTTCCTTCACGAACCAAAAGAAACCCTTCCTTCCAAAAGATGTTTTTGTCAGGTATTTTGCCCCAATAATAACATAAGTTAACTAGTACAGCCTCTAAATTTAATGCGCAGTAAAAACAAACAAACAAACAAATAAATACACACACACACACACACACACACACACACACACACACACACACACACACCCCCTCTGTAACCCTCCTAACCCACCTGGCATTAGAAACAGGGAAGGACAGCCCTGCTACAGGTCTCACCAATATACAAATAATGTCACTGTGGGTTTTGGTGCTGTTTGTTAATAGGAAAGCAGGAAATGCATTAGATTTGGAGACAGGATGGCAAAAGTTGGGTCACAATATAAGCCCCCCAACACGTGTTGGAGGAGGAATTGTGGCATAAAGGCATTAACAGAAGCCATGAAGTGCAAGCAGGGTCTGAGGTGGCTGCTGGCAGTCAGCCCTCATTCTGACCTCTGCCCCCATGTCTCACCTGCACTACATTGTCTGTAGGTTCATGTGGCTCCAGCAGCAAAGCAATTTGGGAGAACTTTACCTGAGCTTCCTTACAGGAATTATTTAACCCATCAGGTCAGAACAGAACATACTGATAAAGTATTTTCACTCTCCTCAAAAATAAGGCCACTGTGAATGGCCATACAAAGCACTTGTCTAGCATGTACAAGGAAAGCCCTGGTCTTGAAACCACAGGCCTGAGTGAGGGGTGTGCGTGTGCGTGTGCGTGTGCGTGTGTGTGTGTGTGTGTGTCTGTGTATCTGTGTTTCTGTGTGTGTGTGTGTGTGTGTGTATGTGGTGTGTGCTGGTCTACACGGAGATGTCCTACTAACCCATTACTCTGTGTGTGTGGTATGTGCTGGTTTATACAAAGATGTCCTACTAACCCCAGTACTGAGCAGGGGAGGAGATGGAGACAGAGGGATGAATTATCTATATTGAGATGTCCTACCAACCACAGCACTGGGTATGTGTGAGGTGACTGTTCTACACTGAGATGTCTTATTGGTCTGACTTCAAATTCTGAACAACCAGTTTACAGTTTTTCCTTCTATTGTATGCCTATATTCAATTAATGGCCAGATTTAAAATAATAAAAGTATATAGCATTTTTATACTTTTTTTCTATTTTATAAATCAATAAAAGATTTAGAAGTATACTGTCATGGGCCTCAGTGGATAAAGACACTTGTTGACAGTCCAATCCTCATGACTTGAGTGCAGTCCCTGGAGCCGCATGGCAGAAGGAAAGACTCTAACAAGTTGTCCTCTGACTTCCACATGTGCACAGTAGCACACAAAATATTTAAAATATACTGTCATGAAAAAAATCTTAAGAACATCTTATTTCTAAGACTGTTTTTGACCTAATCAATCTTACCTTTATAAAAAATAATACCTGTTTCTCACCAAATCCTATCGATAGTGTTTAGTAGTTATCTCGGTAAAAACAAAGCTCTTCTGGACTTTGTTTTAGTCACTAAGTGAAGAAATGGGCTGGGAAGATGGCTCAACTAGTGAGATGCCTGTCGTTCACAAGTGAGGACAAGTCAGATTCTCAGCATCCATGTAAAACCCAGATGTGGCAGTACACACCTGCAATCCCAGTGCTGGGCAAGTGCATGGACCCCTGAGATTTCTAGCAAATCAGTGTAGACAAACAGACCTGTGTCCAGGTTCACTGAGACCCTAAATCAAAAATTAGGTGGAGAGCGATTGTAAAGACACCCAACATCTTCCACATGCCCGTGCATGCACGCGCACACACACATGCACACACACACATGCACACACACACATGCACACACACACATGCACACACACACACACACACACGCACACACACACACACACAAGAAAGGAAACATCAGTGACCTTTGTTGTCTGCTGCTATAAATCCCAGGATGTTTTCATGGCGTAACATCACAGTCTGATAAATCTCTGCCTCTCGGAACCATGAACGTTCTTCCCTAGAAGAGAATATCTTCACAGCAACTTCTTCTCCCCGCCACTTGCCTCGCCAAACTTCTCCAAACCGACCTTTGCCAATGCTTTCTTGTAACACGATGGTCCTGGCGATTGTTCTCTGAACAAGTAGGGGCAAACCTAAAGACAAAGTAAGTACAACATCAATCACCCAGTCCACATCTCACACAGAACAGCAGGCAATGCAGACCCAGAGGCAGGTACTGCTCCTTAGCATCTGTCTTATTGGAAAAACAGACTACATTTGCCTCCTCAACCCCAACAAATGAAATGGGAAAAACCAATAATAAATGCAGTAAAGGATCCAGAGACACCTGCCTAGAGATGAGGGGAAGTAAGCTGAACTTTCTCTTAAGGGAGAGGGTGAAAGGAGAGAGGAGGAGGAAGGTGCTTACATAGGAGTATTCAGCAAAGGCAGGAAATGAAACAAAGACAGTCTTTCGGATACCTGTCTCACTCGTGAGAGAGGATATTAATGTAAGTAGAAAAGGTAAGCTGTCACCAGAAGATAAACAGTTCTAAAGACAAGGTCTCACGATGACCAATGGTGGGGTAGGGGGCCTGAAGATTCTGAAAACAGTCATGAACAGGTAAAACGACTGTAAAATCTGATTTTACAAAGATGAGCCTAAGTAACTACTTTCCTTACAGGAGGAGAAAGAATGTGAACACAACGAACAGTAAATTGTGACCTAATTTTTATTAAATCATTTAAAAACGCCACAGAAAGCATTTCAAGGCAAGGAAAGCACTTGCTAGAGCCTGACTATCTACCTGAACTAACATGGGAAAGAGGGATACCAGACAGGGGTCCTCACTTCCTAACGCCGCGACCCTTTAACACAGTTCCTCATGCTATAGAGATCCCCAGCCATAAAATTACTCCCATTGCTACTTCGTAACTGTAGCTTTGCTATTGTTATAAATGGTAATATAAATATCTATGTTTTCCAATGGTCCTGGGCAACCCCTGAGAAAGGGGTCAGGACCCACAGGGTGAGAACCACTGATACAAAGTTAGTTACTCCAGCAAGGTAGCTGCATTTTTTAAAAATTAGTTGACCTTGTTTTATTCTAAAGTATTTTTAAAACATTATATTTCCCTTAGTGATTTACAATAATTTAGTATTTATAACAATTAAGAGCTTCTATATTTGGGTCAATAATTTATTATCTCTCACTCATCCACTAGAGAGTAGTCTTTTTATTTTAGTTTTTATTTGGTTTTATTATGTGTATGTACATGAAAGTGTGCGGTGTGTGTTTATGTGTATATTAGGTACACGTGTGTACACGTGTAATGTGAAGACCAAAAACTAACCTCAGGCACCAGCCACCTTGTTTTTTGAATGGTTCTCACACTGGGGTTTGCCAAACAGACTAGCTGGCTGCCCTCCTCACTGCCAGAACTAGAAGTGTTGGTGTCACCATGCCCAGTGTTTTGTCATGGATTCTGGGGGGTGAGTCTGGGTCCTGATGCTTATAAAAAAGTAATTTACCAACCCCAGGAACAATTATTTTAAATTACACTGACACTGACAAGTAAAATACCAATGTGTCTCATGTTCTATAAAAGTATTTACTTATTAGCTACACTCAAAGCCAGTGTGACAGTTTAAATGAGAATGGTCTCCATAGTTTGGTCGCAGTTGGTAGAACTGTTGGGAAGATTAGGACATGTGGCCTTGTAGGAGGAGGTGTCACTAAGGGGTTTCAGTGATGACACTCCCAGTCAGCTCTTTCTGCCTCTGTGTGTGAATCAAGATGCAAGCGCTTAGCTACTCTCTAGCACCAAGCTCATCTGCCAGTTGCTGTGCTCTCCACCATGATGGTCATAGAACTGTAGGTCCCAAATTAAATGCTTCATTGTATAAGTTGCCTTGGTCATGGCGTCTTATCACCGATCTAGAAAAGTAACTAAGACAGCCACATAGTAACTAGACAAAGTCAATGACAACAGATGAAGCCACTCCCTTTTTGGCTTCCTGACTTGAAATACCCATGAATCCAAACACCATAGCCCACAGCAGTCAGAAACTCTCTCTCTCCACCTTTCCTTTCTCACATGGTTTCCCCTTCTCTCTAACCAGCCCTCTGCACTTCCTACAGAGCAGTTAGCAGTCTTGTTAGAGCACTGCTTTTGTGTACAATGAGACTAGTAGTTAAAAACAGGTCCATAGGAGACAGAGGGGGCTCCATGGCTGCACAGGAACCGAGTTCAGTTCCCAACAACTACATGGTGGCTCACAATCAACTGTAACTCTAGTTCCATAGGCCTTGATACCTCCTCAAGAGTACCAGGCATGTACATAGACAAAAACTCATATACATAAAAATTTTTAATCTTAAAGGATTATTTTTAAAAACAACAATCAAAACTAGGTCCATGGAAGATTCTTATTTAAATCAAGGAGCTCTTTTGCACTATGAACAATCAATTCCCAGTTATTTTATATGACTTAGTGAAAATACTAACATATTAAATTTTTCTTAAAGCCTCGTATAGGACCACAAAATTTATTAAAAGTACCTTAAGGGCAGGCAAGATGGTTCAGTGAGTAGAGGCTTGCTGCCAAACCTAATGACCTGAGTTGGATCCCCAGGGATCCATGTGATAGAAGGAGAAAACTGACTCCCCAGAGTCAACTTCTGACCTCCACATGCACCCAGTGCCACACACATGTATGAACACACATACACACACACACACACACACACACACACACACACACACACACACACACACAGAGCTATTCTGAGAAAAAGATCAGGGCCATAAAAGAGTTCATTTCAAGAGATGAATCTGGAAGGCAAGTAATAAGCCGGAAGCAAGCCAAGCCAAGCCTATAATCCCAGTACTTGTAGGCTGAGAAAGGAAGACTGCTGGCCTGAGCTACAGAGACAACCTACCTAAAAGACGGAGGGAGAGAGGGATTAACAAGCACAGATAGGAAATTTGACAGATTTAAGACACAGACACAGTGATGATTAGTTAAGGCTAACTGGAAATTGTGTCTTCCCTTTCTAGATATAAAATGAAAAATTTAGATTCTTCATATTATTTATATTGGATTTAACCCATATGAATACCTGAGCTTTTTTTTTTAATGTAATAATTTCCTTACAGAAATAAACAAGCCAGGCTAGCAAGATAGCTCAGTGGGTAAAGCCTAAGGACCTGAGTTCTATCCTGGTTCTCACATGGCAGACGGAGAAAACTTCTGACTTGTACAAGCACAACGTGTCGTGTGCACACAGAGACACACATAAATAAATGTAATAAACTTAAAGAAAAAGTGAGCCTGGTACAGACATCTACATTCTGTTTTAACCTTCCATACCTTGGAAACTGCTTGAGAGGAGACTGCAACATGCAGCTTTACATGCAGTCAATAATGGAAATAAGGCCTTGACAATCATGTGTTAAAGAGATTGTTTATGCCTGCATAAGCCCTAAGGACTGGGGTTTAAGAGACTACCATGTACTTTACAATCTAATTGCAGCTTAAATAAAAGCACATGTATGACCTGTGACTAAGATTAATGCAGGAGGGAGTAATTAATCTTCAAATTTAGAGGTACTGTAACTCAGTCTTGTAGTTCTCAAAATTAAAAGTACCTTGCCAAGGTAGAACTTGGACCTTCCCTCCAATGGTACTAATACAGATGGGCATCCAAATCAAGGCACATTTAGTTCCACCTTTTCCTCTACAAGTGAACGACTTTCCGGGGAATTATGAGTAGACAGAGCAGTCATGGGTATGAGTCCTGCACACGAAGTGTCATAAAGCTTTAATGTGGATACGGGAAAAAGACTCCCTTTCTTGAGTTCAGAGAGCGCTCTGCACACTGTAAACTATGATGGACAAGGAAATCCTAAACAAAGCTTTTTATTTTTTTCCTTGGACAGTGCAGTAAACTGAAGCCCTATGTGAGTGTTCTTTAGCATGTTTTCAATTAAGACCAATACCTGTCATCTGGACATAATTCAATTTACCATGTCATTACACACACACACACACACACACACTCACTCCCTTATCTCATTTGAAACTCACAGCAATCCAACCACTTGCATCCCTCATTGCTTTTTCCTACGGACTAACTCAAGCACAAGACATCAGCGCTCATTTACAGAGCTAGCAAATGATGGAGATAAGTTTTTGCATGGAGAGGTCTGCAGGAGGGGGGAAAGCTCTCAGACAACAGAACAGCTCCTGATGGTCCTAGATGTACACGGGAAGCAGAAAGAGAAAGAGTAACTCCATCCTCCAATTCATACAGCTACATTTCAGAGGCAAATAAACAGACCTCTGTTAGAAATCAACTGTCATCTGCTTGACAATGTACTGAATCCTGTCAGTGGACTTGAGTCTGTGAGCTGTTCAAATCTCCCTGGGTATAAGTTTGGTAATAAGATAACAGATCCAAGGGACAAATTTCGAATGGTTTGCAATCACCCTAGTTTTCTGCAAATCTGTCCCCTACTTATCATGGTCCAGGAGGATCCCTTGTGAGATTTTTCTTTGAGAACCATTTGCATTAACTCAGATCAAAGGAGACACCAGGGCAGTCCTGACAACCTTTCTGTCTACTTCTCCTTCCCAAAGCCGCCACATCTCCAGGACCCCAGCTGCTCTAGCAGTCCACTCCCTCACTGTGTCACTCTCGTGTGGGACTAACTACGGAGTCCCTTGGGAGGCCTGGCTTTGTGTACAAGCTCTCATGTGTCAGCAGTCAGAATTCACTGCCACATTTTTACCAAAGGCTTCAGGTAGAATTTGTCTCCTCAAGTACTTAAATGAGTATGTATACATACCAATATGTATTAATTTCCTTAAACTAAAGTCATCTATTATTACATGTGCTGCAAGCATTAATGTGGTTTTTGTGCTTCAGAGCTATAGCATTCCTCAGTCACAACTCCTGCTTTAATGTTCTTTTACTATTATTTCTTTTAAAATAAGCCAGATTTTTGTTCTCAAATCTTCAATATGGCCATAAATTTAGCACTTATTTGAAACTGATCAATAGTTTTCAAAGGACAGTATGCTACATTCAAGACCTCAGTAAACCACTTTGAAGTATTTTTACCAAAAGTATCTGTTCAATATTTCTATAAGGAAATAGAAACCCAAAGAGGAAGTATGGGCTGACCAAAGTCATAGAGCTTGTGTCAGAATCTAGACCTGTTGATTGCTAGCTACACATCCAATTCCCAAACTGAAAAACAGACACACGTCTCTTAGTCTTCTTCCAAAAAACAAAAAAACCCAAAACAAACAAATAAACAAACAAAAACCCCACAAATCCCTTTACTTTAAAAGCAAACACTATTATGAAAAAATCCATCTCAGGATGATTCTGGCAACCAACAACCAACTAGTCTATTTGTGTCCACAGAAATCAACCAACAAAACTGAGAAAACTAAACACCATAGCACACTCACTAATTTTGCTTCTTTGTTTTAAGTTTACTTTAAATGTAAAAAGTTACTAAAAATGAAGTAGTTTAATTTTAGTAATAATAACTGGAATGGCCCACTGACTCAGTGGATGAAGGTACTTGCCACCAAGCCCAATAATCTAAGTTTGTTCCCCAGGATCCATGTGGTGGAATAGGAGGCCTAACTCCTACAAGTTGTCCTCTGACCTCCACATATGCACTGTGGATAGCAGGCAGGCATGCACGACACACACACACACACACACATACACACTACACTCACTCTGGCAGATGGTGTCCTAGCTGGGTGGTGGTGGCATATTGTTTTTAATCCCAGCACTTGAAACGTAGGGGCAGGCAAACCTGTGAGTTCGAGGCCAGCCTGGTCTACTGAGAAAGTTCCAAATGTCTCAACTGCCACCCCCTCCCCCCCCCGCACTCAAAAAAGGTGTCCTACTTTCTACCACCCAAACTCACAAAAAAGCCAAGTTATCCTCCTATAGGAGAGGATTCTTTGAAATCTATATGACTGTGGAAGTGACTTATAAAGCAAGCTCCAATTTATCCACACTAAAACTATGTGGTCAGATGGACACCAAGCTCAACAATCTTCATTAGGCTGTAATCTGGAATAGCATTCACACTATCTCAATTTTTAACAAATTAAGCCAAATGTCTCAACTAGCTAATTAAATAAATCAGCAAAGTGATTTCTTAAGATTATTAAGGTAAACAATGGCATTACCTGATCCAGATCCTGATGTTGTCATATCATAAATCAAATCTTTTAAGGTGGTGCCCTCTGAAATGAAAGGGCGATCTAGTGATGGGTCCTCTTCATTTGGCACGCGATGGTGAATGACAGTGCGATTATGGCAGATATAGACCATCAGCATAAGTGCAATGCAGACGAAGCAGACTGGACCAGCAATGACCGCTGCCAGCTCCACAGGACCGAGGCCAGGGGACTGCTTTTCTGCAAAAGGACCTCAAATGAAATAAACATCAACAAGAACAAAAAAAACACTGTAGGTGCCACCCACATTTTCCAAACCCTCCATATTTCCCCACGTGTTCACTGCTAACACTCAGTCCCAGAGCCTCATCACACTGGACTCAAGCCAGAACAAGTGCCCCATCGTGTCTTCTTTCCGGTCTGTCTGCTCTCCCTGGCCCCCTTTAGGACCTGAAGCCCTGTCAGTACCCTCTGACTCTTCCTGCGCATCCCACCCATCTGTAATTCACCACAGAGTTGCTCGGCTAATCAGCATCCTGGGCCTCCCGCCCCATTTGTCACCTCACACAAACTAGGAAGGGAACCAACAATTTGAAACAAGCACTTTAGTTTTATCTTCTTATTCCAAGTCTACAGCAGGCTTATAGCAGAGGAAAAATAAATAAATATAGTCGATACGTTTTTACAAATTCTTTCCTTGTGATCCTGCAAAGGCTCATGTTTTAGTATATACATTTCCACCAACCTTTAAAAGTCAAACACTTCCTTGTTTACTTTTCTATTCTATTTATTTATTTATTTTTAAGACCCCACCCCTGTTTTTGGGAGACAGGTTTTACCGTGTAGTTCATCTAGGCTGGCCTCAAATTTGGGATTCTCCAACCTTTGCCTTCCAGCACTGAGATTAGAAACCCTTGTTTTTAAAATAGTTTGTGCAAACACATTCTTTCTAAACTATTTTTGCCAACTGTATTTTTAATTATATACAAATTATTTTCTTATACTCTCTTAGTAAATGAATATTTGCTCATTTTAAAAACACATTAATAAACATATATATGTGTCAACAATTTAAAAAAAGGGGACTATGAATTTAAAAGAGAGATCAAGGAGTATACTAGAGGGTTCAGAGGGAGGAAAGGGAAGGGACAGTGTGATAATACAATCTCAAATGTAGTATTTAAAATATGCTAATTATAATTATTTTGGCATTTACCAAGCTTTACTTTGTTCACTGCTCCCCATTTTTGACATCTTCATTTGGATTTCTTATCATACAGAATTCTACTTCTAGCAATTTCTTTCAGGAAGAGTACTTAAATCTTATACACTGCATATTTAATTAGTTATATGAAGACAGCTGTTACCTTTGTATATGAAAAATCTTAGTTTACTTTAAGAATTTTGGTGACAATCAATACGTAATATTTTACTGCCCCCTGATACTTGAATAAAGTGGAAAATCTGAACGTTTTCCTCCTTTCTAGGTAATTAGTGTTAAATTCTCTGATGTTTTTCCCCATACTTAAAAATTACACTGGGCCAGGAAGGTGGCTTGTGGGAAAAATGCCTGTTACTGAGACTGATAACCTCAGTTCAATCCCCAGGAACCACCAAAGAGAGAAGCAACTCCTACAAGGTGTCATTTGACGTGTGCCTGCATGTACGCGCACACACACACAACACACACACATCCCACACAACTCTGACCTCCCATTTTCTGTGGAGGTCAGAGTTCAACTTTTGGATGCCCATTCTCTAAACAAGCACTGGATTACAAGGGACTCTTGTCTCAAACAAACAAAAACTGACAATAATAGCAACAAAGGATATTTTTTTATAACAAAGTAGAAGTAAGTCTGTAGCTATAGGGTTTATTATGTCTAAAATTCAAGATGCAAATTCAATGTTTGATTACACACACACACACACACACACACACACACACACACGGAGGGGGAAGGAGGGGATGAGAGAGAGAGAGAGAGAGAGAGAGGGAGAGAGAGAGAGAGTCTGGGACTAAAGGTGTGTGTATCGTCATGCCTTTTCCTTTCCTTTCCCTCCCTTCTTTCTTCTGGTAGTCACTCTTCCATTAATTCTGCTAGCATTAATATAGGTTTTCTCCTATTTTATATTCCTTTGACTATTAAAATAAGAATCTAGAACTTGAAGAGAGTGGCAAATTTCTATTTAATTAGTTCTATTTAAACTTAAAATTACTGGTTCTACAAGGACCATTTACTATCATTTCATGTGTATGGATATTTTGCCTATATGTATGTATGTGTGTTTGTGCACCACATGTATGACGTGCTTGAGGAGGTCAGAAGTGGGGATCAGATCCCTTGAACGGTGGTCAGACAGTTGTGAGACACAACGTGGGTGCTGAGAATTGAACCCGGGTCCTCTGGAAGAGGAACAAGTACTCTTAACTGCTGAGCCATCTTTCTAGCCTTCCCAGGGCCTTTTAAAAAAGTATTAAATACATGGTATCACTAGATAGCATATAAATCATAAAAAAGGTAAAAACAAATCTCAAAATGAAAGCATCTAGACTGTTTAGTGCACTTGATTTCTGCCCATTAAAAGGCTACTGATTGGATGCTGTAAGACGTAGGCACACCATACTAGGAAATGAGAAATCCACTCTGAGGACGAGGTAGGGGAAACCCTAAGGACATGCTGCCCTGTAAGATTCTAGAATTCACTTTGAAGAAGCTACCCTTGTAGGCATAGTAGATCTCACTGAAAGCTTCCTAGCACAGCTTTCTCTAACAACATACAACCACCAGCAGTCAGGATCCTGGCTACTCATAAGTCTACCACTGTGGACAGATCAGTTTCTGCCTCCACCTTCAACAAGATGAGCTTGATAACTTCTGTAAACATTTGCAGTTCTAAACTTGTAGGCAGTCTAAAAGCTTTTCTTTTATCCTCTTGGAGGAAGGAAGGGAGGGGTGTTAATATAACAACTTACCTGTGGTTGGGAGTTCTATTTTATTGCAGTGGTCCTGATTGCAGCAATATGTTGTTGTAACAGCCCCTGTTTTTAAAGATGGTGCACAAACAAATGGCCTGTCTCGAGGAATTAGGTCGATTTCAGCTATACACATACTGTTGTGTATAACTTTATCTGTGGTCTCTGTGACTGAGACAAAACAGAGGCCGTCCGTCTCACAGGTAAAATTATCTTTTGTACAGAGGTGGCAGAAACACTGTAATGCTAGAAAAGAGAACAAAATTTTATTACGAAAAAGAATACCAAGGTTCAGTTTAAAAGTTCAACAACACTGTTAATACATTTTTGATATAACACAATTTATGTACTGCTCAAATAATAAACTTTTATTACTCTTAGAATGTCCAAGAATCATGTATACATAAAAGCCAAGGTAATTTAGTTAAATTTCAACCTAGGCTTCCCCCTCCACTCCCAAATCTCCTTCCTAAAAAAGAATTACACAAAATTTCATCTAGATAAGGCAAATATTTGCCTTCCCACTTCAAATGAAGTACAGTTATACTTGTTCCTAGCCCAAATGAGACATCCATATACACATACCTCCACCCCCCACAAGAGACTGTGGAGCAATGGTAAAAATGCTGCCACAAACTCATGACAACCTAGAAATGCCATTTCAGTAGATTCGTGGCAATGAAGTAATAGAAATAGAGTCATATTGAACTACAGGTTTTCTACTCACTCTTGGGCAAATCCTAAGACACATATCTTCTAACTATTGTGGCACAGACAATTCCAGCAACAGTTTATATATTCCAGTCACATGGGCAAAACTAGCTACATGCCCACTATACCTATTATATCTTTGTGGCTCAACTCTAGGAATGACCCCTTTATGGAAGTATCTGCTGTCACCAACATCTTCCCACACACACCCATATTCTCTAAGGAGGTTAAGTCTTCCCCAAAGCACACATGGCATACCGGAAATGCTCTTATTCTTCCCTCTTCTAAGAAAATATAAGCACTTTGAGGCTGGAGACCCATACCCATTCTGAAAATCCACCACAGAGCCTATGCCTGACAGCAGCACTCAAAACTGCTTGCTGAATGAACAACACAGTAGGTGACCCGACTACTCACTGGCAAGGGAAAAGTCCAGGTAGGAGGAATGACCAACAATGATGAGACCAGGGAGGTTCATTAAATCTAGAAAGGGAGGAGCTAGTCAGACAGCAAGCCAGAAGAAAGCTATATTCCTAAATGGCTAGTGTGCTGTGCAGGGAAGTAGTTTACTTGGCAGGCCTGAGCTCAACAAGCCAGCACACTCCCCAAAATAACTTGTCTTCAGAACTGTCCTTGACTGGATGTGAACGCTGAGCCTCTGGTATATGCGCTCTGATAAGAATGTTTCTGTATGCGTAAGGCTTTGGGGTCACACAGTACCCATTTGACCAGATAGTTTGCACTAACAACGCAATTCACAGAAAAGACCTATTTTTGTTTGTTAGGATGGAGGCAGTAAGTCCTTAGCTCAGCTGTTATGCAGACCTGAAGCCCACCGACTGTGATAGTTAATCTAGATCATCAACCTGATTGGGTTGAGAACTTCCTAGGAGATTTGTAAAGCACACCTCTGAGGGCATTTCCAGGGAGGATTTGGGGCAGAGGTGGGGGAACCCGGCCTGAATGTGGGTGTTTTACTGCCCTATGTTCTGGAGACCTAGATAGAGTAAAATGAGAAAAAAGAGAGGGGGAAGGGAGAGAAGATGAGGGAGAGGAAAAAGGGGGAGAGGGAGATATAAAGAGAAAGCCTTCCTTGAGAGAAGCCTTCCTGCCAGCCTGGTTCCAGAGCCGCATCAGTCCCAAATAAACACACAGGAGGCTATCTTAACTTTAGGGAGAGAAGAAGGAGAAGGGAGAAGGGAGAGAGAGAGGGAGAGAGACTCATTTAAGATGTTCTGCCACACCCTCCCCAACTTGATGGCTAAAATCTCTAAAACTCTAAGCAAATGAAGCCTTTCAGCCGGGCGTTGGTGGTGCACGCCTTTAATCCCAGCACTCGGGAGGCAGAGGCAGGCGGATCTCTGTGAGTTCGAGGCCAGCCTGGTCTACAGAGTGAGTTCCAGGACAGCCTCCAAAGCCACAGAGAAACCCTGTCTCAAAAAACCAAAAAAAAAAAAAAAAAAAAAGGACTAAGGATAGTAATCCTCAGCTTATTTCTCTCAGCTACTTTGTCACAGTAATGCAATGTCTATCTAATACAATGGCTGGCGACTGATCTCCAGTAAAAGCCCTGGACACCATCCAAGGCTCAAGTGAGCTTCCCTGGTTGACAGTGCTTGTACATGCCATCACATGCCACTACTAAGAGAATGAAGTGTCCTGCTCTATGAGAAGGTGTGTTCTTTGGGGACCCTCAACTGATATAATAGCTAAACTCAGGAACACCAGGGTTTTCTTGAGCAGCTGCTTCAAAAGGCAGCATGCTTGCCTATTATCTTAATAGACAAACAAAGTTCTCAGAGCCAATGAGAAGGCTCAGTGGGTAAAGGCTCTTAGCACACCACCTGCTGACATGAACTCAATCCCAAAACCCATATAAAAGATGGAAAGAAAGCATCAACTCAAAAAGTTGTCTTCTGACCTCCACCATGTTCACTCCCTCATACACATAAATAATAAAAAAAATTGAAGGAGCATTTTCCTTCTTCTTAGAGCTCAGCCATTTAATTTAACCTTACCTACATGTGAAGGGAATTCAAGAAGAGTAATACTGTTAGAAAGAGATAATCATCATGTTAATTTTGGCAAAGAGTTTTAGTTCTCTCCTCTGCCTCTTATCCTTCAACATCCTATTCAAAGATCCTTCCACATGTGATCTCAAGTCCTTCCCTTCAGATAATTGGAGTTTGTTTCATTTGTCCTCCACACTTCTGCATACCTTGAAGACGGAATACCGTCTGTCTATAGTTTGTTGTTAGTGTTCATTTCTCTACAAAGGCTGTGTTTAGCTGTTTCAGGAAAATACATCTGCTTAATGGTTTCCCATACAAGAGGTCACAAAGAAGAGAAAAGCAGTCTGAGTTACATACACATTTTCATTCCAAAGATAACCAACAGTGATAAACATTCTGGGTCCTGAGTAACTACCACCTCTACAATACTTTCACAACTATTTCTACAGCACACTTTACACACAGACAGCTTCACAGTATGTATAAAGTAAAAACATACAACTTAAAACAAAGGAGCACAGGGCAGTGTAGACCCAACAGCATTGATATAGTTAGTAACACAGGTGTCCTGAATCTATGCAAGTCTTACACAAATCCCTTCTTTTAGGAAATCTTGCAAACGTTCACTAGCAGTATATATGGCTACAATATTCAACAACACTCTCTCTTCTTACTTCCAGCAACAAATGGTTTAGAAAATAATTTAGTAAAGATTTCAATAATAATATTATGCTAGTCCTATCTTCCAGTAAACATCTCATTAGAACTGATATTTGAGGAATGCTTGCTAGCAAGTATTTTGGTTAGGCATGAGATCTCATTATCCTGAACTTACCAGCAAGCCCTGAGGTCATTAATACTATCTTGAACATTACTGATGAGAACAGCCACTTGCAGCATTTATTATCATTGAAGTTAGAAAAGCGAAACAGATATAAAAATAAAATCAGGCCTAAGGCCACTATACTTCTACAATGAAATAGAAACATAAACTGTCATGCCAAATAGTTGTATTAATTTGTATTTTGCTATTTGTTGTGGTCTTTGTATTTAATTTACAGATTAAATTTATAATTGTAAATAAACACAAAACATTAAGTTTTATGCTTTCTAATTTCATGCCTACAATCTAAAGAACACTGTGAAAAATACATTTTGCATTTTTCCTTTCAAAGAAGTCAATGTATGATAAATTTTTAAAAAGCCGATGTTGAAGGGTTTCTCTTACTACTCTTTCAACAAGAAAGGTCACTAGACAATATAAATACCATATAATACAAGGCTTAGCCAGGCATGGATTTATCTCTTGAGGGAATTATAAAATTCCATTTTTTCCAATCTAGACCAGATGACTGAATACAGGATTGCTACTATATGACATAGTAAAATAGTTTATGAAAAATTAAAACATAAACTTAACAGATTATCACAAGCATATTATCTTAATTCTCATTTCTTACAAGTTCAAGTCTGTAAGTTGAGTGTGGAGTGTTCACTTGTAATTCTAGTGCTCAGGAAGCAGAGACAAGAGGATCTCAAATTCCAAAACAGCCTGTGGTACACAGCAAGACTGCTTCAAAACAGGGGAGGCTTGGGTGCAGTCAGTGGGAAAGCAGTTACCCAGCATATGAAGGCCTTGGGTTCAACGCCAGCACCTTACCTCCCCTGAAACCGAAACCGACTTTATTATTAAATACATCAGCTCCTGGTTCACCTCATTCCCCCTTTATTTTTCCTCCATGTGTATGTAAGAATGCCTGTGTGAGTATATACCACGTGCATATGAGTACCAAGGAGGCTAGGAGTGTTTAGGGTGTTGTGCACACCTGATGTGGGTGCTAGGAACAGAGCTCAGGATCTCTAGAGATGTGTTCTTAACCACTGAGCCGTCTCTCCAACCTCCACCTCCCTCCTCTTGTATTAAAATAGGTCTTTGGGCTGGCAAGACAGCTCAGCGGGTAAAAGTGCTTGCTGTGCAAGTCTGACAGCCCGACTCTGATGCCAAAGACTCAAGGTGGAAGGAGAGGACCAATTCCCAAAGGCTGTCCTTTACCCTCTACTCACACACAGTGATGCACATGCACTCATACCCCCCCACGCACTCATGCACGCGCACACAGACCACACACACTACACACACACATACACACACACACACACACACACACATACAATTTTTAAGTCTAAGTAGGGGCTGACAAAATGGATCAGTGGCTAAAGGCACTTCCCACTAAGTCTGGGGACCTGAGTTTGAACCCCAGCAACCACACAGTAAAAGAAGATGGACTCCTTGAAGTTGTCCTGATTTGCACACATTTGCAGTGGTACATTTTCTTCTTACACACACATCACACCCCAAAGAAAAACATAGTTAAAATATTTTAATTAAACTAGTCTTCGTTCCAATTTTAAACGTTCTGAGTTAGTAAAGGCAGTGAATGTTACTGCTGCATTTTCACACACGTGTATCACTATGCTACGTCACAATTGGCCCCCATGCTCTCATCTCCTTCACCATCACAA